AAAATGACGTCGGATATCTATTTTCATTCTCAAGATGATATCTCGATTCCAAAAATACCCATATTGATGGGTAAACTAACCACCAGATAATGATAAATTTGACATCCACGTGAACAAATCTATGCGCATGCGCTTAAATTAACCGTGTGAACAATCAACAATAGTCAGAAAGACTGGGCGAATATGGATCGAACAGCTTCGCTTCAATGCGAAAGTCTAGATAGAGCTGGAATTAGGGCGTAACAGCTTTTGTAAACAATTTCTTCTATCGATTTTTTTTTTTTTTTTTTTTTTTTTTTTAACTCTTTATTTGTTCCAAATTCAAAATAAATTACATTTCATTTTAACCTAGGTGCTCCAGTTACTGCAGTAACTTACCAGCCTTAATTGTTATGATATATATCTAAGTGTTTTTACATTGTTCATGTCTTGGCAATTCAGTATTTTAAACAGGTTTTTTAACCTGCATGTCAGTATAACAATTGATATCTTAAAACTAAACACTAAAACTAAATCTTATCTAAGTATAAAGGGAATTAATCGTTGCAATTGAGGATTGCAACGATTTTTGCCTGAAATTATTAATTATTTTGTTGGACATTTGTGCTAAAGTCTCAACATTCGAAATTCTATGTACTTCGGTTGTACTGTACCAGGGAGGCAACTTCAAAATCATTTTCAGAATTTTGTTCTGAATCCTTTGAAGTGCTTTTTTCCTGGTATTTCTTCTATCGATGATTTCTCGGAAGCCATGGCTCTCCCTGGTAAAACATCACCATCGAGTAGAGGAAGACTTCTCCTACCCGATGGATATGATGGTTTATGTAGGCGTGCCTTGAATTCCGAGAAATCAACGAGAGAAGTCATTGTTTACAAAGGCTGTTACGCCCTAATTCCAGCTCTATCTAGAAGTTAGTTCATTTGACAATGGACGAGTGCACCGATGAATTTTAGTTCATGCTCTGACGAAAATTTGACAGCAGAGCGGGGCAATGTTTACTAAAAATGAACACTAAATGTTCGTTATGAATGAACATTACCCCGCTCTCCTCCGTCAGTGCATGAACTCAAATCCATCGGTGCAGTCGTCTATGAAAGACGAAATGAACACGAGTCAAGCCAAAACAAGCAAGCATGGAAACTGACCAAAAGTGGTTCTCTTGATGTTGAACGGGATCTGCTCGAATAGAAGACACAATCCCCTTTATTCTGCGAGTCACGTGACTCTCTGTCACCGGTGAGGTGACAATTGTCACCTCGTGTGAGGTGACTCTCCATGTAAATCAAATGGAGAGTCACCTCACACGAGGTGACTATTGTCACCTCACCGGTGAGAGAGAGTCACGTGACTCGCAGAATAGGGGGGAATGACTTTCAATTGAAAGTGATGGTTGACAGTTTCATCATAGAGGTAACTCTAAGACTAGTAGGTCCCGAAGAAACGTGCTCAACTTTTTGGCTCAGCTTTGGTACTATCTTCGGTTCCAAGCTAATCGATGCACCCCTCGAAAAACTACAGCCGCCTGGGGAAATGTACTGCTGATTGTTGCAATCATTGGAACGCGCTCACGCTATCGGGCACGGGAGAAGCTCTTCCGGGGATCGAAATCTGCTGAGACGGCCAACTATGGCTACCTGGCAGCGAACCAGGACAATGGTGAATACGACAAAAGTGATCCTACTAGTAAAAGTTGGCTGCTTCAGGGGTATTACCATAGAGGTAACTCTAAGACCACTGGGTCCCGAAGAAAATCATTATTATTTTTGGCTCACTCAGTACCAGAACAACGGTCCCAAGCAGTCCCAAGCTATTTCACTCACCCCTGCATGTTCTGCATGAATCCACACACCCCTGATGTTATCTGTCAAACTTTCATAGCGAATCAAAACAAACATAGTGTAGTAATAGAATTTCAACTAGAATAGGGTACGTTAATCGTTTGCTTGGGACCAATAGGCTACTAAAGTGGTGAGCCAATTTAAAATCGTTAGTTTCGTATTGATTGTTGGTATTACCGAGGAACCGGTGAATTCAAAAATTGACGCCAAAAGTGGTTCTGAGGTGGCGGTTGTATTCGCCGCTATTCATTACTATTAGCACCGGAATGACCGTGTCCCGGGCAGCAACAGCTATAGAAAAATAAATGCCAACTACAACCAGCCTATTTCGAACAGTTCAAACCGAAACACAATATGGGGGAAATGTCGGCTTCGGCAGTACCTTAACCTATTATCGTCAGGGTGGTAAACAAAGTCCTAGAGCACTCAAATTTGGCCAATAGATGCTCGGAAACACACTGTATCCACATGCCAAAATTGAGCTCTCAAGGACGTTGTTTACCCTTTGACAATAATTGAATAAGGTATTTCCGAAGCCGTCATTGACCCTAGAAGTGTCAGGTTGAGTAATTATTATTATTATTATTATCTTTATTTAGGAGATTTTCAGCCGCAGACTGGTTCATCTCCGGGAACCCCAGAAGGGGGCTTCCCTAATTACATAGTTGAGAGTTTGGAGAACCCAGAAGGGGTTCTCCTAGAGGTTGGTGGAGCTCCAGAAGGGAGTCCCCCTAGTACAGAGTATTTTTAAACAGAGTTCATTATAGTTCCTGTCTTGGTTCTTAGCGTGGTTGGCGGATCATGGTGTGAATGGCGGTGGTCGTTGTCGAAGGCAGTCAGGTAATCGTCATGTGATATCCAGGCTTACTCCAGTGGTGTCCATGTTCGAAGCGTAGTCATTTTGTATATATTGATTATATTTTATAGAACAGTCCAGCATCTTTTAGGAAAACTATTAGGGTTGCTTCCGTGGACGGGTCGTTAGAGAGGGCGTTACGTATGCTGTTCGGTATTCCATAGAGGAGCCGGATGTTATGGAAGCAGGGACAGTTAACAATCAGGTGTTCGACTGTCATAATCGTGGTGTTGCAGGAGTCACAAAACTTCCGAAAAAAGGTAGCGCTACCCATGTTGTGGGTCACTCGGGTGTGTCCGGATCGAAGCCGGGATAAGACCTGTTGTTCCCATCAGCTCGTAATGTCATTCCATTTGGAGGTGTCGCCCTTTATTTTTCTCAAGAACGGTCCCCTTTTTGCGAACCACTCCCGGGCCCATGCGTCTCGGAGGGATGCTTTCACCCATTTTTTTACGTCCTGACAACGGCCGGAGCGACCTGTGGCAGCGAGATGATCTGCTTCACAGTTGCCCCGGATACCACAATGGCCGGGTACCCAAACAAATGAGGTGTTCGGCGGCGCGGCCTTTTGGATCCCTTGTATCCAGGGGTGTCTGGATGTTGCTGAGTTCAAGGCGTATAAAACGCTAGCGGAGTCTGTAAGGACACATATGGGTTTATTGGCGGGTGTCGTGGTGGCGAAGTGGATGGCCGCAGCCTCCGCCGAGAAGACGGAGCACTGATCGGGTAGTCGAAAGAAGTAGCTATTGGATACATCCGCTACTCCGAATCCGACCTTCCCCTCGGCGTTAGAGCCGTCCGTGTAACGGTGTTGAAAATTTGCGTATTTAGTTCTCAGCAGCTCCGCTACGTGGGCCTGCATGGCACGGGAGTTGTTACCTGCCTTGAAGCGCTTGGCAATTGAAAGGTCAACGCGTATGGTTGGTTCTGTCCATCCTCTGGCTCCGTTCCAGTGTACCCTGGCCACGGGTGGGAGCTCCTGATGGACCTAGTTTCCGAGAGCTCTGTTCCCCTCCCTGAAGAGAAAGACCTGGTGGTTCCCGGTCGTCCAGGTAGCTGGTCGTTTCGGCGACTTGGTATTGAAACGGTAGTACGCCGAGTTCGACGCATGCCGATTCAGCCGGTGTTGAAGGCAGAAGTCCTGCGACGATTCTGATTGCCTGGTTATACGTTGGGGCTAGTCGTGTGGTAAGAGAGTCGTTGGAAAGGCAGAACAGTTCGATCCCGTAGAATAATCTACTGTTTACAGTGGCTTTGGCCAAGGTTGAGAAATTATCAGACGGATAATAACAGCTCGGTTTCACAAAGAGCAGCCCGAGCCTGTTCCTGGTCCTGAAAGCCAGAATGTTTTGGTTTTATCATTGACCTTCCACGCATTAGTCCGTAGTCAGCTGTTCTTGATCATGTAGGCTGTGAACCATTTGCCAAGTTAAATTTGACTCGTGGTTAAAAGTGACATTTCGAAAGTTATTTTCTATGTTCGAAAATCCCTGTGCTGTCGATCGACCGGTTTTCAACCCACGGTTGTCAAAATTTAACTTCTTGTCTGTCAGAAATAACAAAGCTCGGATAGCAGGGTTCATCGATAACTTTCCATCTGTCAAATTTTAACCAAAAGTTAAAATATTCCACCAAATGGTTCAGAGCCTTAAGCGATTGCCCCGGTTTTGGTATGCGCAGTGGTCAGAATTAGAAATACTAGAAGGAGAGATGGGCGGAGAGAATGTTTTGAGCCAAATGAACTGTCAAAATCTAAGCCAAACGACCATTCCCATTAGAATTTTTCCGAGGATTTCTTATTCTTACTAGATTAAATTTGAGAGTATGGCAATCGAACAGAAATTGAATCACCTTTATGTTTCGTGTGATTCTCAAATTCAACTAGTTTTTGGAATCAAAAGCAATATTCTAACTCTATTGATTAATTGATCTTCGTTGGTTAATGAATGGCACCAAGAAATGAGCAAAATATTGCGATACAATCAATTATTATTTTGCACGTAAATCGAATCAAAAGAAAAGTCATGTGAAATGCTAAGTTTTAGCAAGTGTTGCAAGAAAATTTAGATACAAATCCCTGCTGCCGAATTGTATTTTGTTTTCTTCGCCCATCTCTCCCTCTGAGTATTTCTAGTCAGAATGTGTGAACGCTCGCTGAATCTTTTGTGGAATAATGTTGAGCTTCGGAAAGGCATTGGGATATGTGCTGAGGGGGAATCCATCGGTCACGCTTTCAAAATAAAGTTATCAACAAGAATGATTCAATCAAATCGCAGGCGCAGAGATAATCAAGCTTTCCCATGGTTCACCACCAGAATGTTGTTTTCCACCTAGATGGACTCCCTGGCATACCGAGGGAGCTAAGCTGATCAGATTCAACAGCTGAAGGAGTTTTTCGAGCATAGAAAACACACCCATCCAAGTTTGACAATCAATTTCACTTTCCAAAATTATCAGAAACCTTCAACCTTACTTCCCGCGGCTCACGGCAAACCACGTGATGACATTGGCCGGGAACATGGCATCGCAGTACTGCCGACTCCGTACATCCGCTGCGTTGGCCTGCTTGTTACCCGTGTCCGGATAGAACTTCAACGCAATTCCGAACAATTCGGACTGCTTGGCTATGTACTTTTTCGTCAGAAATTTGTTGTTCACCGTCCAGCACAGTAGATTCACCAGGGTGTACTTTCCGTGCTCCCGATCCGTATCGCTATCCAGCTTCATATCGTGCAGCCGCTTCAGAACCCCATCGAACACTTTATCGATCAGGTTCTGATCGTTCAGGTGGTTCAGGAATCGCAACGCGCCGAGGAACACTTTGTAGTCCGTCTCCAGCTTGCGCATCAGCTCGTCCAACTTCTGATCCATCATGTGCTTGGTGTAGTTCCGGATAAGGTCCGTACTGTTCATCTGCAGTCGCACGAAAATCAGCTCGGCCATGTCCTCGTACATTTGCTTCGTCTTTTCGGCAATTTCCTTCTCCAGTTCTACCACCTTCACCTGGAGGGCCGTCATTCGATCGATCATCTGCCCGTGCTCCTTGGTCGCTTCGAGGTTGGACTGCTTTTCGAAAATATCCCGGCTTTTCATGATTTCGCTCACCTTCTGCTCGAACGATTCCTTCAGCTCGTCCACCTGCTCGGTCGTGATGGAGCTTTCCTTCAACTGCATGATTTCGTCGGCTACGGACTTGATTTTCCCGGTGATGGCCTTCAGCATGGGGCACCGGTCGAGGGTTTCCTGCGGGAGAATGTCATCCGGAGCTGCCCGGCCGCCGGTGGCTTTCTGCAGGGCGGACTTTATTGAGCTCAGGTCGTCGTCGGTGGCGGTGCATTGGCCCTGGGGCAGAGGATTGGGATGCACGGCCGGAACGAGGATTGCCACGATGAGAAGAGTATAGGCGAGAATGGGCTCCATTTTGGATGGCTGTTCGCGAGCTACTGAGCTTCTTTGCTTTCGAGCGATGCCTAGTGTGTATCGACTGTCTTTGTTTGCCAACTGCTTCAATGTTGCACGGAATGTTGGGAAAATGTGTTTCTTGTTTGCCGAGAATACAACGTTGGTTGTAATGGTGGGAAGGATGTTTAATCAACTGATCGGCTCTAGCGGCGCTGGTGGTGAAGTGGTAAGCGTGGTTGCCTCTCACCAAGGCCTGGGTTCAACCCAGCCGGCGTCGCCGGGATTTTCTGAGTCATAAAATGAGTTTGATGGCTCGATAGGTAGGATCCAGGTGTGGGAGCTGCCTCCCTGGCGTCGGTAGCATTGGTATTCAATACAGAAAACAAGATCAATAGAAACAAATCAAGGGAAAAAAACTGATCGACTTTCAGTAGATAAACCGTCTCAAGAGAACCTCGCTCAAATGAAATTGGCGATGAAATCACACATTTTCGAGAAGCAGGCCAAGCAGGAATCGTCGCAAGCGGAAGGAGCCACGATGGCCAAATGCTGGATCTTATAACGAGGATTAATTGGGTGTGATTGGAATAATTTCTAGAACAGTAACATTTTCTTCATTTCCCTTTCATTTAACATCTCTCAAACCCAAAGCCATCCCCCTGATCACCGTATCGGGGAATCTCTCCGGGCAAGTTTTCCGCCGTTGTATATCCGCTTGATAGCTCTTCGTGTCACCATCCTTCGGATAAAACTGCAAAGCGAGCCTCAAAATGTCCCCCTTCTTCTCGATATACTTCTCACCCAGCAAACCATTATTGACGGTCCAACAGAGCAGAGTCACCAAATCGTTCCTTCCCGTTTCCATCCTGCGCCGAATACCCACGTCCAACTTGTTCAACCGGCTCAAGATCGCGTCAAACACGCTGCCAACCATTGCTTCATTCTTGGTTCGATTCAGATACTGCAACGAGTTCAGGTACAACCTATAGTCCGGACTGAGCTTGTTCAGTGGCGAAACCAGCTTGTGTTTGGAAAAACTACGAACAGAAAACGCCTGGTTTATCCACAGCAGCTTGACCACGGACGCCACGGCGTCTTCGTACAGCTCCCTGGTTGCCTCCATCATTTCTGCCCGGAGCTTGTCGACCTGTGCCGGAAGCGAGGCAATCGTTTTGATTGTGACGACTTTGTTGATCTTCTGTTTGAAAGCCTCCCGTAGTTTCCTGACCCGATCACTGCAGATCCCAGCTTGCTCTACTTGACGCATGCCCGAAACCATCAGGCGCAGGGTCTCGGTGATGTTCGTCAAGGCAGGACAACGTTTCAGAGCTGTTTCCGACGGCTGCAGGGGATCCCCAGCGTTGACTGACGTCAGCAGAACGGATTGCACGGTAGTAAGGTCGCCTGCGGAGCAGGAACTGCTGGATGCGGGATGGGGAAATAGGATTGAAGTAGCGAGTACCAATAGGAGGAATGTCAGTTTGGCGGTCAAAGGTTCCATTTTCCAAGGAATATGGCTTCTTGCCGCGGTGGACTTGTTTGCCTTGAACGTCTGAGACTTTGTGGGGAGGCTATAAATATCCACTGAAGTCGCACCGTGTACCGAGTGGTCAGTGGGTGATTGATAGCTACTCATTTGTATCGCAGCTGGTCTGTGGATGGAATTGTCAACAATCAGTCACTCAATAGCTTCTGATGACATTGACGATGGAGCTCAGCTTTTGAGGTCTAGTTGTGAGGCCACCAAATACCAATTATATACTTTAACTATTTTGTTTATATTGCTTGTGCGTGATGTAACGATTTACATAGTTGAAGATGCTTAAATATCAGACTTAAAGTGGTCATTTTATACGATAGATGAGGAGATGAATGTATAGAGTTGATAGTCCCGTTAGAGTGCGGCAGTGTCAAAATTGTATAGGGTAGATGTACCAGTTATGGTTATACGTTCCTATTATGGTGTGTTCCAATTATGGCCTATGGGAATTCCATAGGCCATAATTGGAACACACCATAATAGGAACGTATGACCATAACTGGTACACTCACCCTATAGAGAGTCGAAAGCGAGCAAAGACAACTTTGAGGAAGGTACAGTAGAGGTAACAATAGCTGCAATTTCCAAACCCACGACTAGATGCCTCCCTTAAGATAACGTCTTGAGTGCGTTACAATCGATAGAAATCGGTGATCATCTCTTTTTGCCAGTGGTGGTGTGGGGGGGGGGGGGGGCAATACCCCTCACCATTCCTCTCCAACTGGGGAGTTTGGTAAAGAGAGATGATCAACAGGATTCGTACCTTCCTCAAAGTTGTCCTTGCTGCTCGCTTTCTACTCTCTATATACAATTTTCACCCTTTCTTGGTACTAGCCGTGTTGATGGGACTCCGTTGCCAAACACTGTTCGGAGCCATCTCCAACATCACTGAACCCTTCGAAATTGCTTGATTCGTCTGGGCTGCTCACAATCTTCGCTTTTCAGGAAACTCTTCAAATTAGGATCATATAGACGGTATCCTTTTGTCTCCTCCTCAAATCCCTTTACCACACACGGTTTTGACTTCGGAGATCAAGCACAGTGTACTCACATTGTAAACGTAGAATCGACGAGTATCACCGTCTCCCTTCGAGAAACGCCAGCCAATAATTGTCTTTTATACAAGGCCAAAGGGCTTATTGATGTTAGTGAAATGTGCATATGTTTAGTTGTGTTCGCATTTCATTGTAATGTTTATCTTTTTACACGAAACAGCTGTTGGCAGTGACGTATTCCTATCTGTTTCAGTTTGCACTGCCTGTCTAAAGCCATCTTGACTCGGCCACTTGTTCCAAAAAGGGACGGTATTAAAAGTTAATTCTTGTTCGAGCTTACCGCTATTAAACTGTCAAGTTAACCGGGTTGCCAAACAACCCATTTTTCACAAACAAACAAAGCCAGTCCAATAACTCGCACTCTCGGCACATTTACAAAAAAATTGGCACAAAATAAGTGTGTAGAGTCACCACCCCTTGGGTGGCACTAATATGCCATTTGATTTCAAATAATTTGCTTCACTTGACATCTTGACTAGATAGATGTTTTCTGACTTTGGACAAGTTTTTCAAATGAAAGAGACTTATAGGCTCTTCTAATGCACCACCAATTAGAGTGCGCCAGGCGAGTTCGAGAGGAAACGTCAACTAAGCCGTTTGTTTACATCAGAATAAGGGTTTTTCACAACGCAAATGACAGCATTTTTCATTGAACATCTTGCTAATTTCCATCAGTAATAGTCTAATAATACGATTTTCCACATATCTGAGCTGATTTGCACCTAAATTATTCACACACAAGAAATCCGGATGATCATAACCACTAAGGCACTATTATAATTTTCCATTTTCCTCAACAAAAATATTCCTGAACACCAGCAGCATCCTTACAAAACCGATACAGAATTAAATTTTTCAACTGTAGATCAAGTTTTGGAACATCTCTGATTAATCAATTTATCAGGCAAAGTGAAAAAGTGTTCCGCTACGCCTTTTTAATAGAAACTAAGCGATCGATTCAACCTCTGGCGGTGAATACGAGAACGTCAAAAAGAGTGTTGTGAGCTAAGAGAAGAGGTGACAATAGGCTCTTTTCATGCACAATCAATGTAGAGTGCGCTAGCCGATTTTGAGAGGAAATGTCATCCAATCCATTTGTTTACATCATAATGACGATTTTCAAAACTCAAAATAATGTACATTTTATTGCACAACTTGCAAATTTCCATCGGGAGTGGTCTTATTTTACGATTATCTACAGATCTGAACTGATTTACTGCTGAAATAACCACAAATTAAAAATCCGGAAGATCATAACCGCTGAGACAATTTCATAAATCTTATTTTTTCTCATCAAAAAATATATGGAAGCACCAGCCGGATCACTGCAAACCCGATACAGAAAACAAAATATTCCACGATGATGATGATTTCAAGCACCTGTGGTGGATAAATTAATCAGGAAAGGTGAAAATATTTTCCTCTTCCTATGCTTCACGGTGAACATTTCCACCCTCATCACTCTTTTTATGGTTTCCCTATTCACCGCCAGAAGACGAAACAATCGCTTAGTTTCTATTGAATTCGCCTATACGGGGGCGAATATGAACCACTTTTCTGTCAAACGTGAACCAGCTCCTGATTGACCGATTTCATACGCGTAAGATAGAGATAGAGATAGAAATAAAAGAGGAAGAAGCCAATTGTCACCTCTTCCTCTTAGGTTGTGAGCAAAAATAATTGCCGTGAGACATAGGAAGTGGGACACTTTTTTTTAACCTTTCCTGATAAATTGATTCATCTGAGATCAGATGCTCCAAAACTTGATCTATAGTTGAAAAATTTAATTCTGTATCAATTTTGCAAGGATCCTGCTACTGTTCAGGAATATTTTTGTTGAGAAAAAAGCAAAATTCCAATACGCCTTTTTAATGCACCACCAACGTAGAGTGCGCCACGCGAGTTCGAGAAGACACGTCAACCGAACCGTTTGTTTACATCAAAATAACTATTTTTCACAACGCAAATTAAAGCATTTTTAATTCAATATCTTGCCAATTTCCATCGGTAATTGTCTTATTGTACGATTTCCCACAGTACTGGACTGATTTTAACCTTAACTATTCACACATAAGAAATCCGGAAGATCATAACCACTAAGGCACTTTTCTAATTTTCAATTTTTTTCAACAAAAATATTCCTGTACACCAGCAGGATCTTTTCAAAAACGTTACAGAATTAAATTTTTCAACTGTAGATTAAGTTTTGCAGCATCTCAGATGAATCAATTTATCAGGAAAAGTAAAAAAGTTTTCCGCTTCCTATGTCTCAAGGCAAAAATTTATGCTCACAACACTCTTTTTGACGTTCTCCTATTCACCACCAGAGGTTGAATCGATCGTTTAGTTTCTATAGGCCTTTTTAATGCACCACCAACGTAGAGTGCGCCACGCGAGTTCGAGAAGAAACGTCAACCGAACCGTTTGTTTACATCAAAATAACTATTTTTCACAACGCAAATTAAAGCATTTTTAATTCAATATCTTGCCAATTTCCATCGGTAATTGTCTTATTGTACGATTTCCCACAGTACTGGACTGATTTTAACCTTAACTATTCACACATAAGAAATCCGGAAGATCATAACCACTAAGGCACTTTTCTAATTTTCAATTTTTTTCAACAAAAATATTCCTGTACACCAGCAGGATCTTTTCAAAAACGTTACAGAATTAAATTTTTCAACTGTAGATTAAGTTTTGCAGCATCTCAGATGAATCAATTTATCAGGAAAAGTAAAAAAGTTTTCCGCTTCCTATGTCTCAAGGCAAAAATTTATGCTCACAACACTCTTTTTGACGTTCTCCTATTCACCACCAGAGGTTGAATCGATCGTTTAGTTTCTATAGGCCTTTTTAATGCACCACCAACGTAGAGTGCGCCACGCGAGTTCGAGAAGAAACGTCAACCGAACCGTTTGTTTACATCAAAATAACTATTTTTCACAACGCAAATTAAAGCATTTTTAATTCAATATCTTGCCAATTTCCATCGGTAATTGTCTTATTGTACGATTTCCCACAGTACTGAACTGATTTGAACCTTAACTATTCACACATAAGAAATCCGGAAGATCATAACCACGGCAAAAAAAATTCTGCTTACAAGGTTGAATCGATCGCTAAGTTTCTATAGGCGAATTCAATAGAAACTAAGCGATTGTTTCGTCTTCTGGCGGTGAATAGGGAAACCATAAAAAGAGTGATGAGGGTGGAAATTTTCACCGTGAAGCATAGGAAGAGGAAAATATTTTCACCTTTCCTGATTAATTTATCCACCACAGGTGCTTGAAATCATCATCATCGTGGAATATTTTGTTTTCTGTATCGGGTTTGCAGTGATCCGGCTGGTGCTTCCATATATTTTTGATGAGAAAAATTAAGATTTATAAAATTTTCTCAGCGGTTATGATCTTCCGGATTTTTAACGTGTGGTTATTTCAACTGTAAATCAGTTCAGATCTGTTGATAATCGAAAAATAAGACCTCTCTCGATGGAAATTTTCAAGTTGTGTATTAAAATATACACTATTTTGAATTTTGAAAATCGTCATTATGATGCAAACAAACAGATTGCATGACATTTCCTCTCAAAATCGATGATGCATCAAAAGATTCTATTGTATCCAGCTTTCCATGCTCGGTAATGGCGGCCTGTTTGTTTGAATAAATGTATCCTTCACTGTGCTTTTTGACACTATCTGGATGTTCGGATTTTGATCCCTCCCTTTCCCTCTCCCAGGAACAGAAGAAAATGGAAAAACATACGCCCTCCAGTTAGTGTCAAAAAGTACAGTGAAGGATACATTTATTCATACAAACAGGCCGCCATTACCGAGCATGGAAAGCTGGATAGTGACCAGCTCAGTTCTGAATATTCAAACCAGGCGACGCGAGTATACGGTTTGACTTATAATTACAGTCAACTTTCGCTCGTTGGGCTAAACCTGTAGCCCACTTAGTGAAAGGCTTTCGTTAGTTGGGCTGAGCGGTCAAGCTGAAAATTTATTGAGCGATACACCGATTGTTTATTATCATCACTACCCTAATAGAAATGTTATGGTTAATTTGCTTAACGACGTGTTCGGGGAATCATCCAAACCATTTGTGGAATAGTTCAATCATTTGGGTTATCGTTCGTTTAAGGTAATTTTTTATTAGGGTATCCTTTAGCAACTATCCAAATTGTTCATACATGAGCCCTTCGAAAAGGAAACAGCTCTGTCAGAAATGACGTTTGACTTTGATTTAGGTGGGCTACAGCCCAACTAACGGGAGCCCAACTAACGGGAGCCC